TTTCATTTAGGTATTGTCACAAATGCATTTTTTTGATGAAATTTCGAGAATATTTTTAGTTATAAATAAATGAATTTGTGCATTCGACATCATGTTGTAAATTGCCGAATTTTTGATGGTCCCCCATTATTTATTTGATTGCTTCATTTCATGCATTTAAATTTTAAATCGGCTGATTTTAGATTGCCGCGCGTACCCCTTCATGCAATTTCGCATACCCCGAAGGGTACGCGTACCACTAACTGGGAACCACTGCTTTAAGTATACATGTGTATTTGCATGTGTATTTAATGGACTTCGGAATTATTGAGACAATGAATTTTTGTGAAAAATTCCAAAATAACTTAATTAAAGCCAAACATTTCTTTCATAAAAATAAAAATTTCTCTCTTCATTAGCAACATGTACAATGTTTGACTGACCTTGAGCACACATCTGATAAATTAACAATGTGTAATTAGTAAAACTGAAACTGCCACTTAGGCATGGAAACTTTCTTATAAACATGTAATATCATGGAAGATTTTGAATTAAAGAATATTTTTGTGAGTCACCGTATTAGATTATGACTTCAAATTTTATTGTATGCATATTTTGAATTATCTGAACTAAAATACATGCAAAATCTATTCTCTTGGCCAGGGACTAGACTTGACTTCAAATTACATGATACTTCATATTTTCCAATATCGAAATAATGAGGTTTTACTGTAATAAGTTAAAATAAATTTAACATAATATGTTGTAACAATATTATTATTTAATCCAAAATTATGTTTTTTAGTTTACCAAAAGATTATATTTGAAATGAAAAATTTTACTCTGAATTTAAGATCATCATCAGCAGAAAACTTACTTTAGACACAGAATACAGCACTTTTAAAAAACTTTTATTGAAAATGCTGTACATGACAATTTAGACAACTAAATTGCATTGGCAGACTCACTATGCAGTTTGTTTACTTTCATACAGTAATATTATAACATAAAACGTACAGTATTATTTCAACATTCTACTGCATATTTAAGAAAATTCACTTTCTTTATAATTCTTAATTAAGATACTATTCCTGTAAGAAATAATGGAAAAACTAACCAATATTCAAGTTGTTTTTAGGAATAGTATTAGATTCTATATTGGTTTAACAGGATATGGCTATATTATAGTGCCAACTTTCATTATATTTCCAAATCAAAGTTGAGTTTGTTATGAAAATTATATTAAATTTATGTAACTGCATTAATTAATATATGCCAATAATTTTTTAACTATGCACTTAATATTATATGGCTAGTGATGATTTTATAAATTATTTTAAAAAATTATGACTAAAAATTAAAATTATTTGAACATTNTGTTGCGGTTTATTCTTCATTTAATTTTTGTAATTTTTAATTTTGATTCTTTTTGATTTTATTTTATAGGTTAAAATAACAATAAAACTTTGTAATAACAATTTTATTGAACGACATTTATTACATAATACATGAAAAATTATTATTCGTTAATGAGAAGGTTGAGACTGTATTTCTTGACATAATTTTTCAAAATCAAGAGAGTAATTTGATACTGCTACTCTTAAACAGTCATTCAAATTTTCACCCGTAAGACGTGATCTAATCGTATTTTTGAAAAATTGCGTTGAAGAAAATGTGGCATCACTGAAGTAAGTCGATCCAAGAAAGATTTTAGCTTTAGTGCACAGTTTTTTAAAATTGTATATTTACGTGCTTCAACTAATTTCCAAAATTCCTTATCCCTGTTAATAACTTTTAAAGCGACATCGTTTTGTTATTCTACAATTTCCAGTTCTAAATTTTCTACATTTGTTGCATAAAATCCATTTATTTCTGCACTTAAAGTAGTAATGTCAACATTAATCATAGGTTTTTGAAAGAAAAATAAAATCGATTTCAAGTCGTCAAATTGATTAAATCTTTCATTAAACTTATTATTTAATTTAATTAACATACGTTCTACATAGATAATCAACATACGTTCGACAATATAAATAATTTTCTAGAAATATTTTCGACATGTGTGGAAAATGCGTCAAAGAAGTTTTTTGAATGTGCGAACTCCAAAGGACTAATTTACATTTAAATGTTTTAATAGCACTTACCATATCCACTAAATCTTTATTTTTACCTTGTAGTTCAAGATTTAACTGATTTAATTTCTGACAAATATCAGCTAAAAAAGCTAAGTCACGTAGCTAATTAGGATCTTGAAGTTCGTTATAAATTTCCCCTTTTTGCTCAAAAAATTTTTTATTTTAGTAATAAAATTAAGAAACCGGTTTAATACTTTGCCTTTGCTAAGCCACTTCACTTCTGTGTAAGTTTTTAAATCTGAGAACTCAACATCATCATCTTCCAATAGCTTTTTAAAAAACCTGTGCTGTAATGGAGCAGCTTTTATAGAATTTACGAGTGAGAACCATTAGAATTTACGAGTGAGAACCATAGAACGATCTGTAGTAATAAAATAAAAACATAAAAGATGGCACTAAAATTCTACTGAATTCGATAAAATAATAATTTTTTGTAGTGGAACTAAGTACAGTACTTATATTTTATTATATATATGACAGGGGTGGGCAAGCAAAAGTTCAGTGGGAGCCGAAATGTAGGTTTTGCAAAATGCATGGGAGCCGCAGTTCTGTACGTTTTTATTCTGTACCGCGATTTTATTATATAATATAAATATGATTGACATTTTTATGGGAAAAATTATTGATGAAAAATGGATGATGATTTGATTTCTAGAAGGCAATATAATCATTTAATGCATGATAGGCTTNTCTGTTTGTTAAAACTGATTTTATGTATAAAAATATATTAAAATAAATAAAAAACCAAAATGATCCAAAATGGTTATCTATATGGTCACTAGCTGTTACCCACGACTTCGCCCGCAGAGGTTTTGCAAGCAAACCCCATTTATATTCAGTATTTCAACAACCATAGTAATTATTATATAACATCTACTGCTGAGAATGATGAGAATTGCTGAGAATCAAATGAACTATTGAGAATCAATATGATCAATTTTCTGGAACATTTACAATCGTTCTATAATCGAACCAATGTGCAATAACAAATTCAAATTTAAAACAGTTTGAACATTTGGTTAAAAAATCAAAAAATATAAAAATATTTATAACAATGTCTGAAATGTTATCAATTTAATACACCTAAGTACTCAATGAAAACTAAACATAGTTGAAAACAAAAAAATTGCATCTAAAATAGTACAGTAGAAGCTGTTCTTCCAGTTAAGCCTTAATACTCTCCCCTCTGCTGGGAAATTTCAAAAAATCGCTTCTTAGCGTGCGTTTCCATGATGTACCCTAACTGTGTACCAAATTTCACCTCTAATAATAATAATAATAATGNGAGTTGAAGTCGGTGACGATGTTTAGTTTTCATGTTTGTCATGGCTGAAAATCCGCTCTCACAGAGGTATGTTGCGCAAAATGGTAGTAAATATTTTATTGCTGCTTCACTGACACGATGATAATGATAATTGTACAATTAACACAAATTGTGTTAATTGTACAATTTTAAGAATTTCATTTAGGTATTGTCACAAATGCATTTTTTTGATGAAATTTCGAGAATATTTTTAGTTATAAATAAATGAATTTGTGCATTCGACATCATGTTGTAAATTGCCGAATTTTTGATGGTCCCCCATTATTTATTTGATTGCTTCATTTCATGCATTTAAATTTTAAATCGGCTGATTTTAGATTGCCGCGCGTACCCCTTCATGCAATTTCGCATACCCCGAAGGGTACGCGTACCACTAACTGGGAACCACTGCTTTAAGTATACATGTGTATTTGCATGTGTATTTAATGGACTTCGGAATTATTGAGACAATGAATTTTTGTGAAAAATTCCAAAATAACTTAATTAAAGCCAAACATTTCTTTCATAAAAATAAAAATTTCTCTCTTCATTAGCAACATGTACAATGTTTGACTGACCTTGAGCACACATCTGATAAATTAACAATGTGTAATTAGTAAAACTGAAACTGCCACTTAGGCATGGAAACTTTCTTATAAACATGTAATATCATGGAAGATTTTGAATTAAAGAATATTTTTGTGAGTCACCGTATTAGATTATGACTTCAAATTTTATTGTATGCATATTTTGAATTATCTGAACTAAAATACATGCAAAATCTATTCTCTTGGCCAGGGACTAGACTTGACTTCAAATTACATGATACTTCATATTTTCCAATATCGAAATAATGAGGTTTTACTGTAATAAGTTAAAATAAATTTAACATAATATGTTGTAACAATATTATTATTTAATCCAAAATTATGTTTTTTAGTTTACCAAAAGATTATATTTGAAATGAAAAATTTTACTCTGAATTTAAGATCATCATCAGCAGAAAACTTACTTTAGACACAGAATACAGCACTTTTAAAAAACTTTTATTGAAAATGCTGTACATGACAATTTAGACAACTAAATTGCATTGGCAGACTCACTATGCAGTTTGTTTACTTTCATACAGTAATATTATAACATAAAACGTACAGTATTATTTCAACATTCTACTGCATATTTAAGAAAATTCACTTTCTTTATAATTCTTAATTAAGATACTATTCCTGTAAGAAATAATGGAAAAACTAACCAATATTCAAGTTGTTTTTAGGAATAGTATTAGATTCTATATTGGTTTAACAGGATATGGCTATATTATAGTGCCAACTTTCATTATATTTCCAAATCAAAGTTGAGTTTGTTATGAAAATTATATTAAATTTATGTAACTGCATTAATTAATATATGCCAATAATTTTTTAACTATGCACTTAATATTATATGGCTAGTGATGATTTTATAAATTATTTTAAAAAATTATGACTAAAAATTAAAATTATTTGAACATTTTATCTTTTAGATAAAGTAATTTAATATATGTATATATTTTCTATTTAAGTTTAATTTTTTATATATTTTAGTTACCACAACCTCTTCCTCATGTTATGTTCTCATTATATGATGTTACTAGTCCAATTGAATTCATGTTGGAAGTTGTAAAAAGAATTAAATCTAGGTAAATAATTGTTTTTATTTAAAATTAATTTTAAAGTTTATTAAACTTGTGTAAACAGATTACAGTTATGAATTGATATCAATCCTTTTGTATTCTCAACTGTAATGTAGAAAAAATGTTATCTTTTATTTGTCATTAGTTATTTGTCTGTTAGATATCATCATTAATATATCTAATGTAATTACTATACTCTTTATTAGCACTTTAAACTGTCATTTAATTAGTCTCATTTTGTACTTGTAAAGAAAATGTTTCAATACATGACTTCTTACAATAAATTATTAAAATTAAATTTAAGTCTAAAGTTTTAGAATTAAGGATAATAATAATAATAATTTAAGTTTAAACAAACTGTACTTTATTTAAATCCTTGAAAATAAAAATTTATTTCAGCTCATTACATATAGATATTTTCTAAAGAAATAACAACTCAAAGCTCAAGAAATTTAGATTAAACCACCAAACGATCGCCTTAATATCGGGCTATAAACTTATTTAATAATTTATTTATTTATTATTATTAATTTACTTAAGAGATGGTGCCTAACGCCTATCTCTATTGTCAAATTACTTTATACTAATCATTTAATTAGCCATATTATAGTCCAATATTAAGGCGATCGTTTGGTGGTTTATTCTAAAGAAATGGTAGAATTTTATAAAATCCTGAATATTCTTTATTTAAGCTTGAAGTTATTAAAATAAATTTTGAAGATCACATTAAATGATGTTTAACATAAAATGATTGCTGGATTATATTAGGCTACTATAATGCTAATAATTAAATATTAAGTAATTGCAAACTTGTGGGTTCAAGTCATGTTTTGGGCCAATTTTTTCTACCAGATCTTTCTAAATTAATTATTAAAATATTGATTTAATTATATTTATTAAATTTATCAAGAGATGGCACCTAATGTCTACCTCTAGGCCAAATTACTTAACACTTAATTGTTAGTAGTAGCATTAATATAGCCCAATATAATGCAGCAATTGGCATTGAAATTATTAAAACATATTTAATTTTGTCTCTAGATTGAATTTATGTCTAAGTTGATTTAATTCATTTCATATAAATTTTGTAATTGTTATAATATAAATTTAAAATGAAGACTAAATTATTACTAAAGACGTTTTTATTTTATTATTGCAGTGAATTAGAAAAAGCTCTATTATTGTTACCATTTAATTATATTGAGAAATTCCTCCTTGTTTTATGTGAATTATTAGAAAAAGGCTGGGAAACTGAGATAGTTTGTCGTTGTGTGCACTTTTTAGTAAGGTAAGTATTAAAAAAGTACAGTGGTGCCTCNATTCTGGAAGAAAAGAACTAGTGGGACTTGAACCTGCAACCTCTGCTTACCATGCAGTGTGCTTGCCAGTTATGACATCTGGACCCAAAGCAAGACTTCGCTTTCAGATGTATTAAATTTTAGATATAAACATTCATGGTTACGTACGGTGCCAGCTGGAAGACGACTTCTTTGCCCCTGGCCTATGTACTCCTCCACTAGGGCACTCAATAGGCTAATGCTTTACCCAGCATGGTATGTATATATAATATATATATATATATATAGATTTCTTGTAGTATGCATCAACTTCCTGAAGTCTGCACCATTAAATTTGGATGNGAGTCACGTAATGGCCAAACAGAAAGTCCTTTGTTCACAGCGTCCGTTATTTGAGGCGTACGTTATACGAGGCATCACTGTATATTATTATCAGTAACATTTTATATGAAAATATATTGATATAATATTTAAAATAAAAAACTGCTTTATAACTGTTGTTTTAAGTTTTTGTTTATATAAAACATAGATTTCCTAATGTGAATTATGTAGAATGCCATATTTAAGTACATTATTTTTTTAAATCCGTTTTTATTGTATTTCTATACAGTTTAAACCATTTCTGAAAATAAAATTTCATTAAAATTAAATTGGATGTTAAATATGTGTTAAATTAGAGTTCAAATTATAATGACTTGCTTAATAAGTTTTCTAGAAATCAATTAGATAATAATAATGGTGAGAGTCTACTGTATTATTTAATATATTCAGGGTTCCTACGCACCTGGAAAGTCAGGGAAAATCAGGGAAAGTCAGGGATTTTCATTATTTTTTGAAAAAGTCAGGGAAAGTCAGGGAATTTGTCAAAAATTATCAAAAAGTCAGGGAATTTGTCGAAAATTGTCAAACAGTCAGGGAATTTGTCTCCTTAACTGCGTTGTTGATTTGGTTTGCTGAATATAGATGACCAATCATAGCCATACGCAGGCGGCAAGAAGTAATGCTGCAATCTTTAAAACCCGAGATAACTCGGGAAAGTTCCATAGCGTTATATAAAACTCGGGCATTTGGGCCCTCCGAAAAAATTTTTGTTTTTTTTGGATGTTTTTTAAGTCTCCAAATTTTTTCAAAAATTTTTTCCCGCGCGAAAATATTTTATCNAAAAAAAAAAAAAAAAAAAAAAAAAAAAAAAAAAAAAAAAAAAAAAAAAAAAAAAAAAAAAAAAAAAAAAAAAAAAAAAAAAAAAAAAAAAAAAAAAAAAAAAAAAAAAAAAAAAAAAAAAAAAAAAAAAAAAAAAAAAAAAAAAAAAAAAAAAAAAAAAAAAAAAAAAAAAAAAAAAAAAAAAAAAAAAAAAAAAAAAAAAAAAAAAAAAAAAAAAAAAAAAAAAAAAAAAAAAAAAAAAAAAAAAAAAAAAAAAAAAAAAAAAAAAAAAAAAAAAAAAAAAAAAAAAAAAAAAAAAAAAAAAAAAAAAAAAAAAAAAAAAAAAAAAAAAAAAAAAAAAAAAAAAAAAAAAAAAAAAAAAAAAAAAAAAAAAAAAAAAAAAAAAAAAAAAAAAAAAAAAAAAAAAAAAAAAAAAAAAAAAAAAAAAAAAAAAAAAAAAAAAAAAAAAAAAAAAAAAAAAAAAAAAAAAAAAAAAAAAAAAAAAAAAAAAAAAAAAAAAAAAAAAAAAAAAAAAAAAAAAAAAAAAAAAAAAAAAAAAAAAAAAAAAAAAAAAAAAAAAAAAAAAAAAAAAAAAAAAAAAAAAAAAAAAAAAAAAAAAAAAAAAAAAAAAAAAAAAAAAAAAAAAAAAAAAAAAAAAAAAAAAAAAAAAAAAAAAAAAAAAAAAAAAAAAAAAAAAAAAAAAAAAAAAAAAAAAAAAAAAAAAAAAAAAAAAAAAAAAAAAAAAAAAAAAAAAAAAAAAAAAAAAAAAAAAAAAAAAAAAAAAAAAAAAAAAAAAAAAAAAAAAAAAAAAAAAAAAAAAAAAAAAAAAAAAAAAAAAAAAAAAAAAAAAAAAAAAAAAAAAAAAAAAAAAAAAAAAAAAAAAAAAAAAAAAAAAAAAAAAAAAAAAAAAATACACTAAATACTTTTTTCCTAAATATTCTGTGCTGAAATGGAATTGTCTTTTATCCTGTAAAATATGTTCTGAAATAGGTTTAATGCTTCCAGACTAAACTTTTATATAATTACATAAATTGATCAAGTTTAGAAACTTATTATCATTTTAAAAAATACATTTATTGCATAAAAACATATTTAATCAATACTGCAATAAATAATAATGTGAAAATGTATAACTAAGTATTCAAAATAGGCATTCTTTTAGTTGATAGCTACCTTATGCAACATTTTCAGAAAAATATCTTGACAACTAATTTGAAATGATGAAAATGAATATTTTAAGCTGATCAAGTATAATGAATCAAGTTATAATTTATGATTCATTATAATATGTAATTTCATTACTTGTAATAAGAAATATTCCAAAAAAGGGGTTTTTGACTTACACTAATGATACAACTATGACAGCCAGATGACTCAAGCAGTTATGTCAACAGCTAGTACTTTGGGGGACCTAGAATTAAGTCTTGGGCAGTTGAAAACACTCAGGAATATTTCAGGGATTTCATGGTATGTATATATAATATATATATATAGATTTCTTGAAGTATGCATCAACTTCCTGAAGTCTGCACCATTAAATTTGGATGTAACCATTAATGATTATATCTAAATTTAAATACCTCTGGAAGCAATATTTCAGGGGTTAAACTGTCCTGAATATGTTTGGCCCATTCCTCAATACTCAGCCATTCCTGTTGAGGATCTGATCAAAGCCATGATGGATAGGATTAAAAAGTCCTCTTGGTGCCTACAAGGTGGAGAGAGTGAAAAAATTATCAACTGTTTTATTTTGAATAATAAAATATGTATGTACATAATCATTTTTTAAAATTTAACCACATTATTGATAAAAGTCTGAGTTGTTACAACTTATTTCATACAAACTATTAAAGTGAATTCAATTCTTTTTTTTTGTGCATTTTTGTTTAAATGTATTGATTACTAAGTATAAAGCAAAATAGTAAATACTATGAAATTTTTTATACTATTAATGGTAAATCTTTTATGATTTGGTCTTAGTTTTGTAAGACTAAATGGATCCAATAAATTATTGAAATAAACAATGTACTAAATAAATAATTTATTATATTAATTAAGTGATTCTGTATAAATTATTTATTATGTAATTATCACTTGTCAGTAATTAGACTAATAAGTAGAAATTAAGAATAATTAAGAGATTAATAAAATATGGTTTATTAAAAAATATGGCATGCTTAATAAACTATATAATCTTAAAAATGTGTTATATAGTAAATTCCTGTTAAATTGGACCCTTCCAGCAAGTTCACATAACTCAAATTAGTTTTGAAAAATTGTACAGTAATTTTAAATTTCTTGACAATAGAAAAATTATAATTCTTTATAGCTGAATGCAAAATCAACTTTAGCTAGATCTATCTACAAAGTATAGTAGCTAAATTGGCAATGCTGGATGTTAACAGCTTGCCTACTGTGTTATATGTAACCACGAGGGCTCATTTTCTGTAATAAATTTAACAGTATATTCTACTAAAGCTCATTAAAACTTCTGTGTAAAGCCGATCATAATAAATTACTGTACTGTATAGCCATGTTATTTTCCACATCATTGGAGAAAATACTCTGCTAAGTGGAGGACACCATTCATTCCCTATTAGTCTGAGTTAGTGGGTGTTTACTTATGTAATTAATTATATAACAGCATTTTTCTATCAATGAAATTTTTGAAATGTAAAAAAGTAACTATTAGTAATTTGTCTACATAGATTTATCAATAAATATTTTCCTTATAAATTGATATAAAAGAATTTTTTTATCAAGTCTCATAATTATTTCTTGTCTCTTGACTATATTCTGTTTGTTAAAACTGATTTTATGTATAAAAATATATTAAAATAAATAAAAAACCAAAATGATCCAAAATGGTTATCTATATGGTCACTAGCTGTTACCCACGACTTCGCCCGCAGAGGTTTTGCAAGCAAACCCCATTTATATTCAGTATTTCAACAACCATAGTAATTATTATATAACATCTACTGCTGAGAATGATGAGAATTGCTGAGAATCAAATGAACTATTGAGAATCAATATGATCAATTTTCTGGAACATTTACAATCGTTCTATAATCGAACCAATGTGCAATAACAAATTCAAATTTAAAACAGTTTGAACATTTGGTTAAAAAATCAAAAAATATAAAAATATTTATAACAATGTCTGAAATGTTATCAATTTAATACACCTAAGTACTCAATGAAAACTAAACATAGTTGAAAACAAAAAAATTGCATCTAAAATAGTACAGTAGAAGCTGTTCTTCCAGTTAAGCCTTAATACTCTCCCCTCTGCTGGGAAATTTCAAAAAATCGCTTCTTAGCGTGCGTTTCCATGATGTACCCTAACTGTGTACCAAATTTCACCTCTAATAATAATAATAATAATAATAATAATAACTCTCCCGTGGTCACCACCTGGTCGTGGTGGGAGAGCCCAGTAATTTTACTGATCCATAGGGCAATGCAGGCTGGAGCACAAGCTCCTGGTAGGGACACCCATGCCAGTAAGGTCTATGGGGAGAAATGAAGCTAAGAGTGACCACACACCCACATTATGTGGAGATAATCATAATGGTAGTAACCAGATCAAAGTGTGATACCGGCTCGGACGTCGCCCGGGTTAACAAGGTCCGC